ATCTTTCAATCACCCAAGATTTATTAACAGCTATCTTTGAATCATTCAACATTTAATTTACAATCCAAAAATATGTTATGGTCAGTAATACCATATCATTATGCCACTGACATTTTAGTCTCAATGTTATTAATCCTCCTACTCCTTCAGTATGCTATAAAACCATAGATTAAAGATTAACTTTATTGAAATGAATCACCCAACAGCCAACTACAGATTTTAGTACATCTAATATGATCACTGTTTTAACTTAGCCAGAATTTAATTCAATAAAGTAGCATATTTTTAGGAGAATTGTTATTTAACACACATTTTCCGCACAAAAACCTTCATTACAGGGACTCCCATATGCTGGCCAATCAGCATGTCTAAAAAAATACACTTGTGTGAATAATTCATGAGAAGGTGCAGTACCCATAGTTACCACCCGGGGCGTAAAAGCGATACACAGGTTACACACAAATGTCTTGTAAATGTGAATAATTGGGACTTTGCCTGATTTTTGAATTTAACCCTTTGGCATCCATTGAAACCCCCTCCAATCGTTTTTTTGTTGCTAGAATTATGAGGACATCGGCACTGTCCCACTAATTCAAAATGTCCCATTTGTGTTGCGTGTATAGAGGCGAAATGTCTTGTTAGTTCACCTGTGCAAACACACCCTGCCCCCACACACACAGACACACACCCCACACACACACACACAGACAAAACCTTAAAATCTGAATTCAAAGCCAGGCATTTATTCAAATGCCAAAAATTAGACCTCTTTACAAGCACAACCCTGCTGTGCCAGTGAAAACACCTCTGGGCTGTGTTTGCCATTCCTTAATGCTCTGATCGGCAGCCTCCCGCAAAGCATGATGCATGAACCCATTTAAATTAACAAAGGAATGGCTCCCTCATAATCTCACTGCACTTCACAGTCACGTCGCCGCTTGGATGAACAATATATCATAGTACATACACAAACCTGCACCCACAAACAAATGCCCTTGAGCACCACACACGACAAGCCCGACTGTATGTTCTCTGCTTAGACGGTGAAACCCTGAACAGACATTACAGTCTGCATGCACACTCAAAATTAAACCCGGAGTATGTTCAAAGAGTTGACCAAGCAAGTAAATGCATCCTTTGTGTAGATTAGACCTCTGTCCACACTCCTCACATATCTGCATGCACCTTAATGCACCTTTTTTATTTTTTTTTTCGCAGACACAAACACGTTATGCATTTATTCATGTTTCCAGCTGAGCGCAACACTGCTGCAGCTTTGATGTGGCAGCAGGCGATGGCACAAAAGACAAGCAGGCTGATGAAAGTGACTGGCCTGTTTAAATTATTCCTCTGCTTGTCAATTTGCTCCACTGCAAGACGGCGCGCGCGCGTGCTACCAGGGTACGAGTAAATATACATGTCATTGCCATGAAGCAATTATTAGGCAAAATTAGAAGAGTAATTACAGGCTTGAGAATAAAGTGGGAGTTCTTTATTGGTGAAGCCGCTTGCTATTCAACAAACAGAGGAGAGGCGGCACATTAATGAGAGAGGACAGCGGACAGATGGAGGGGACGACTGCAGAGAACTTCCAAATTAAGACCTTGGCTCAGAGGCGCGGGCGTTTTTTCTCAGGGACACACTAAAACAATCTAAGTGAAGAGTAAGTAAATTAACGTCAATTAAACATACATGTGGTCTTAAATGAGCCCCATTCTCTGTGTCATGAAGGTTAATAAAGCAGCAATTATTTGCTATGTAATAACAGTATATTTGCTTTCCTCTGCTCTGTCTGCCATCTTTATCAGTGTTTTTCAAGGCGTTTAATACAAGAAAATGTTGGACAAATGTAGCAAAATTAAAGTCTGTTGGCAGAAATCCCCACCTCGTTTTTTATTTTGAGTAGCTGCCTTAACGTTACACGCAGATAAGTTTAGGGTGCATTCATGCAAGCCCTGTTTGTTTGCTTTTACTAAACACTAGTTCTATTGTCTAAAAAGTCTAATTTATTTAGGGAGGCATTAATGAGCAAATTCTGATTCAGATTAAAAAAAAAAAAATCACACTCTGGTCCACCTAAAGCCTGGGTCTCTTTTTGGTTGAATGAACTCTGGTTTGAACACCAAGCAGACTGGACAGCGCTCCAAAAGCAGACTTCTTCAGATTTATTTATTTTTTTGTAATTTTCTTCACTGGTTCTTGATGCAGCACCACCACAGGCAAGGAGGGGAATTGTGTTTTTGTTGTTTGTTTGTTTGTGTGATTTTCTTAAAGAGTTTGGTTCATTTAACACAATGCAGTGTGAAAAAGAACCGGACCAAATGAAAATGTAACAATTATTGTAAATTTGGTCCCCGATCAAACAGAGTCTACTGGACAATCAGGAGTGAAAACATCCCAAGTTCTCATCTTCATAATATTTTAAATGTATTTGAAACCAAAAAAGAATTCCGCACTATTATCCTTATAAGAAACTTTTAGATAAAACTTTGACATCTCTGACTCATTCTATTGAGAGTCAGAGATGTCAATGTCTGGCATTTCTTGTAATTGAAGTAATATGAAGAGTTTTTATCAAAGTTTCTGAATCTGTTTATGGAAAAGTGATCAATCTTCAGCATGATGCTCTCTCCTCCCCCACTCTGCAACCATACAGCTCCACTTGTCAAATGCCTCTGACTAAAAGAAAAAAAAAGAAAAAAAAAAGAAAGTTCTTTTTTGTTTTAATTTTGAAAGAAAAAAAAAATCAAAGATTTATTTATTTTCTAGAAAAAAAAAGTTTGAATGCATGTAAGCCATACCTCCAAAAACGGAAAGCAGCAAGGAATAATCATAGAGGATCTCAAAGCCAAAAGGAGCATTTGTAAATATAAACACTGATCAAAAGAAAACATTTTCATCATTTTCCATTATTCTCAATTCTACAGAGTTCATTAGTTTAAATTTTCATTTCTTTTCTGGAGAGGTGCACAATAGTGTGTGTGTGGGTGTGCATCACTGAATCACTGCTTCCGATTTTTCTTTGCCTGTAAATAAGCCATTAAAAGTAACAAACAATAAGCACAAAAGAAAAACGTGCGGCAGATTGCTTGATGGAGGTAGTGGAGTTAAATTCAGTAGAAAATTAAGACATTGCAAAATTAAAAACCTATTTAAATTTCAAAGCTTATGTCCCTGATCTCTGTTGAACCTTTACTAAACACAAAAGCTAGTTTAGTTTTATGATTGATACGTTAAAGGGTAAAATACATAATCAAAACAGGATTTTTTTTAATTCTCAGCAAGTCCTTTATTTATAAGACTGCAAAAATTGTAAGACATAAAATTAAACATATCTGAGAAGCTCGAACCTTAGCTTTTATTATAATTAATGACTAACTCATTCAGCAAAAAGCATATCCTTACACTGATACTGTAAATTTTAGCTGTTGGGATTCCTTTACCAGAAAACGTTCATTTCATTTTCCCAACAATAAACGAGCTAAAACAGATTTTTGTTTTTCTGCTTATCTGCTTTCTTTGAGGGCAAAACCTAAATTTCTGCTGCCATGTGTCAAATGTCCCAATTTGTTAGCTTTTTACATGATATTCAACACACAAACAGAGTAGGCTCTCCCAGTATCCGCACACCAGTTGTGCCTCAACGATTACCAATGTACTTCAGCTAAATAGTTAATTAGTCAGGATACAGATTCTCTCAAAGTGACTTCCATCTTTCCAGGCAGAGCTTATCCTATTGTCTCCTCCTTGAAGGCACCAAATTAGCAGGGACAGTAAGGCTCTGCTGCTCCGGCAGGGACAACACAGCGCTTTCTCTCCCTTCAAGGGGAGACAGCAAAGGGCACGGGAAAAATAGTTTGAGTGATCGCGACGTCGAGCTGACTAATGAACAGTTCAGCCCAGGTCAATCCATTACAACCAAAAGCATTTAATTATTAATTACGGTCAATCCATAGGCAGTTAAGGACAAGTGACACAGTATGTTTAATGTGCAATATGGCTGGTGATGGGGGCAGTGGGTGGCTGTTGTTGTTGAGGCATTTTGGCTATTAGTGAATGTCAGCAAAAAGCTCTGGGAAAAAAACATGAAGAATATGTGATTGCTGGTTCTGATGAGGGGCAGTGTGTGCGCTCGCATGCAGTATTCATGAGGACAACAGCAAGGCAATAAATCAAAAAACAAACATGCTTAGGTGGGTTTACCCTGCATGTTAGTCTGGTTTAAACGGTATCTAATAAACTGTTTAATAAAAATAACATTTTAGATTTAATTGGCAGCAGAAGCCCATTCTGAAGAGGATGAGTAGCTGGTACAACAATTGTTAGGATTTCTACATGTTTCCATATCCGAATTTGACTGAATTCATAATTAAACACAGAAGTTCACAATTCATTTACTGGATCAATATGGAAGAAAAAAGGAAAGAGGGAAAATTCGATGGATGGATGAACTAACGAATATAGTTGGACAAACAGGAGTGAAAACATTTCACAGCTCTCGATAAATTTCCATGCTTGACCTCGTGTCACACACCCCTGTCGTGTGATGTCTTTTTAAAAGGAAGACTAGAATTGGCTACGCAAAACATGACTTCTTCTTTTAAATTTGCAAAATTTTTTATTAGACTTATATTCCCATGTGCTCCTGATTTCAGACATTTTTTCTCAGAAACCAGGATGCAACCTCAACCTCTAAGATAACCATTACCTTTTTACATAATAGAGGTACGAAAAAAAATCCTGCTTCGACATAATTCTGGCTCTTGTAGTCCACAGAATTCAGAACTCTGTTTTTGTGCGGCTGTCACTCGTGACGAGTCCAGCCTCCACTACAGTAATGTGCATACGTCTGCTGCCGGAGGCTGTTGCATAGGGTGAAGGGTTGAGTGAATGGGGAGCAAAGCCGCCTGAGTGGTTTGCTTCATTAGGAAACAAAATATAAGCTTTCCGGGCCATTAGGACTGACTTTAGATGCAGAAGCACATAAGACGGCGACTCACCTCATCAACGATGCATTGCAGTAACTGGAGAGGCTGACGAGGAGAAGCAGAAGGAGTCGGGGGTGAGGGGGGAGAAACGTTAGCCTACATGGAATATCTTGGCAATAGGGGAAATCAGTTGTGTGATAAAAAAAAAAAAGTACTAAGATTAATCACATGCAGCAAGCTCAGGCAAAGCAGGGTTTTTATTATTCCATTATAGCACCTAATGTAATACCAGCAGTTTAGGCATAATCTAATAATTTGCTGCAAAAATCCAATCTGAGTGAGTTTTTTTTTTTTAAATGAGAGAGTCAACCAAGAGTGACAGACTGTATGCAGAGAAGGAGACCTCTGGCTTCTTGCACCCTATTCCATAGCAATAAAACTTACCATTAGAGATCCTTGGTTTTTCTGAATCTGTAGGGCAAGACAGAAGAAGGAAGAAAAAAAAAAAAGAGAGAGATGAGGCAATATGTAATTAGTGTGTCATAATCAAGACGATGCACTTGGAAACATTATGATCACTAGGAGAAAATTATTGCTTTCCTGTTGGCAATTTGTGAGTACGTACTAGTCTTGTGAGTACGTATTAAAATTTGGTCTGGGGTAATGGGGAATGGGGGTAAAAGATCCACTAATGCTAATTTTCTGAGCATTTCTTTATTCCTGCCCTCCAGGTTATCGAGATGTGCTGGGATGTAGAATAACTGTAAAACAGCGTTGGAGGAGATTTACAATGGGCCACGCTGAATGTCTGCTTTACAGGTATAATGGTGCGTTTTAAGTGACTACTAAAGGGTAGGAGGTATTGCTTGTACGGGGAAGAAATGTGAGGAGATACGGGAGCAGGTCCTTAAAAGTGAGGAAAAGAACATTCTGTGAAAGATTTAGGCTAGTTCTGGAAAGACGTTGGTAAAAAAATAAAAAAATCACGCACACACAGCTATGATGGAAAAAAAAGCATAATGTTCTTAAAAATGTATGAAGTAGAAAAGGGGCTTTTGATTTGAAAAATGTAGACATGCCATTTTAACTTAAAATGCATGAAATGGCAGTGGAGCTAAGCAAAGCATTAAGCCTTCCCATTCAAAACCCCTCTAGGGATGAATTCACTACAACTTGTTTTCATTTCTAAAAACCTTAAATTTATACATTCATCTCTCAGAATAAATGATACAAGGCTTAAAACCTGGGCTCAGCTGAAAAGATTGCTCATTTCTCCACGTTTTTTGACAGTGCATTAGAGCACTTATTGATTCACTCAATTAAATACAGGTTTTCGCACTCTGTAAATACCAAGAGACTCCTAAACTGCCTCTATATCCAGTTTTGCCTGATTCAGACACATTAAAAGCAACTATGGAAAACTAATTTGCTCTGAAATAATTACTAAAACCGAATTGCAAGCTGCTCCAGGGCTTGAAATTGGAAAGAGGGAGGCTAACTTATTTAAAACATAATTGAGGACCTATTGTACTTCTATATAGCAGCACGGCCACGTTTCAAAACGAAGAATTCAATACATTTGTGTGTTTACCTAAGTCATTAGGTGAATGTTCATCCTGAGGGTAAACAATGCCTGATATGATCATCAAACAGGGAAAAAAAGAGAGATCTTCTGGCTTTTCTTCTCTATAATGTCACATACAAGACGACAGCACTGTGTATGAGGATGTATTTACTTCTGTGTATGTGTGTGTTTGTGACACAACATGATGAATGCCTTTGCGGAAAACATCAGCTTTCCGTCTCTGCTGAGCTTATGAAGTTTCGCTTTTCGCTTTCTTGGAAAGCTCAGCGTGAAACCAGAAGTCACAAAATCAATATTCAAATGCACAACTTTTTTTTTTTTTTTTCCGCCTGCTCAATATAACTTCACAAAATATGTAAGATTGTGATTTCCTTTCCTAAATACTTTATATATACATTTTAATCATATTTAAAAGTGTGCGTGTTTTGACATTGTAATGAGATCATAACAAGAGAGACAATAACAAGGTAGCTACTGCATAAACATTAGATGTTTCATTACCATGAAACCAATACTTGCATATCTTTAGGACAGCATCTAAAGATACATATGCACCTCAAACGTTTCCACATTGATTTTAAAACCACATACTTTCGTGTATTTAAGGAGGTTAAAATGATAGACAAAAAATACACAGAACTTTGTTTACAACTACCCAGCGAGTAAAAAAAAGAAACAGAAACTATAATCTTTGTATTTATGTTGAGGGGAAAAAAGTAACGGAGGGAAAGTGACTGTAGTCTTTGACAGATGCAGTGATGTGTAATGAAGTATCTTAAAAAAGAAAAAAAAACAAAAACTCAGAATGTCACGATATTTCATTCGGGAATCTATTCAAATATGAGAAATATGACAAAAATGAACAAAACAATAGAGCAAACCAAAACGACAACAAATCAATCAGAAGCAATACTGCTGGCGGCTGTATACACATCACATCATCAGGTCTGGTGTCTTCAAAGACTTTCAGAGCGAGCCGCGCAAAACTCCATTAACTCCTGACAAAGAACGCAAATGAATCCCAACATGTGGTGAAGTGGAATTAAAGAGACCATCTCTAATCATAGCAAACATGAGGTGATGACTCCACTCTGCATGTACACACACACACACAAAAGGATGAATGAGCGCCAGCTGAACAAAAAGCTGCAAATAAAAGCAAATAGAAAACAAGCAGACGTCCTCAGAATTTTACAGTATGAATGACACATCCCAAACACAATATTGGCTTTCCTTGGAAGTGCAATTTACGAATGCCTCCAAGCCAAGCGTAACTCTTCCAGTATCCTTGGCAACTTTAAGGCTGAAATTTGTGTGTCACAAATTCACTCGCGATCTTAACCAACTTCGTTGGTCTGTGCTGAAATGTTTTTCTTTGAAGTATAGCGGGGGGATGAGGGGAGTTGCACAAACAGCTGTGCCAGCGTCTGAAAAAAAAAAGACAGCTTAGGCCTGAGGACTTTGGCTGGCTGCGCTTCACGAGCTGGATCCGAGCGTTCTCGCCACATAGCTCTGCCACAGCCTGCAGGTGAACTGTCTCGAGTGCCATATGGAGTTAGGGGAAAATTAAGACCGAAATAAGGAAACTGTTGGACACGCGAGAGCATAAACAACTGACAGATATTCCAAATATTCTGGGCAATCCCTCAAAATCATTAGGTGAAGAAGGAACTACATAAGAATGACAAACTTAGTTTAAATTAGGGAACGTCTAACCAAAATTAGACCAGCTCAAGACGAAAATTCGCAAACATAAACTCGCCATATATTGACTTGCAGATGTGTATTGTTGCATAGAAATATACATTTTCTTCCCTTTCACAATGACTCATTTTGAGAATGAACATTAGAAAGAGCAATACAATGTAATCAGCCTCAATGATTATGTAAACAGACCGACTAGGTTATAGATTAATTCTTAATTACTGCATTTTTTGGACTTCAAGTCCCACTCATGTATATGTATTTATTTAGGAATGGTCACACTTGAGGGGGACTTGATCTGGTGACATGTTGTATCCAGCTGCTTTTCATCAAACTCACAGACACTGTCAACTTTGGCTTGGAAGTCTGCTTTCAGCTTTGATGCAGTGATGTTCATGCTCCAAGTCAGCATGGTCAATAATGGCTGATTTCTGTCGGTAAAGTGCGCAGCACAGCGGAGACACATGAGGTGTAAATCCTAGGTGATGGAGAGGCAGTGGCATCGCACAAAGAAGTAACACCAAGAAGAGGGAAGGGCTGTGTGAAAAGTCATATATTTAATTATTTCAGTCAACTTCCAGGTTCTGGAGAAGCAACTGCATCGTTCACAAGCCTTTTATGACTGAGATTGTTTTATTTTATGACTCAAATAAAATCATTTCTCAACTGTCATGGTTTAGGCCTGCATAACTGCTGCATGCTGTGGGGCTCTACACTTTACTGACGTGCCAACATACATACATACATTGTATACTGTGACATACTTAAGCAGAGCATTATTTTCAGGATTTCAGTTCACTGCAGTATTCCCTAACCACTACCTTGTCAAAGGTGCTGGACAGGCCAAGCATGTCTCCAGATCTGAATGGCAACCTGTGAAGATCTACTGAACTTCAAGCTTAAGAGAGTGAAGGCAGTGTTTGAAAATAATGGTGGCCACACAAAATGATGACACTTAAAGCATGATTTGGACTTTCTGACTTAGGGGTGTACTCATCTAGCAGTTTAGACACAAATAGATATGTGTGGGTCTTGACTCTTGAAAATATGTCATAAAATAATTATAAAAAATATGTGGCGTATACTCATTTTTATGAAATGCGGTATTTTAGCTCACCTAGCCAACAGATAAAGGAGAGGCACGCCTCTCTATAATTGCAGATACCCTTGGTATAGATGTGACCAAAAAAATGAAGACATACAGTGGATGGCTTTTAGAGAATTGGTGATTCCTTCATTCATTCCCCAACAGTTAAATTTTACCATGCAGTCTACATAAATCCAACAACGTCCTTGGCATCCTGTCAAGACTGAAAAACGTAAAGATAATATAACTTTGTTTTTTTATACAAAAATCTAATATCCTTAAAATAAAGTCAAGGCTCTTTATTTGACAGAGAGCTTGATTTTCACACAATACATCCTGAACATAAATCCGCTTCTTTATATTCCTAGCAGAGGAGCAGTCAGCAAGTAACCTGAGGTGACCAGCTTCAGATTGCTCAGGGCCAGATTAGCAAGTTAAAGCCAACTTAAAGTACTAATTAAGACTTGATGGGATTGGGAAGTCACTTCTGTAGTCAGCAATTACATTTGAGGAGGATTTTAATTTACTGTAATGAGGAGGAGGGAACGGGCTCAGACAAACAGCCTCATACACCGAAAGCTGCATCTAAACAACAAATATTCATCAGTACGAATAGGAACGAAAAAATCCAAAGATTATCAGCGTATCAGTGTCACTTAGGAGCTATCTGCAAAACCTCCACCCCCCAAGAAAATACACACAGGAATTTGCTGGGGGGTAAAACAACCTAGACTAGAAATATCATGACCTCCCACTATTTACACACACATTATTAATTAACTAATCATCCCTTTAAAAAAACAGAAAAGCAACAAATCGTCCTGCTGCTGTTGGAATCACATAAAATTTGATCAGTGCTTTTGTTTTAAATTAAACATTCATGCTTAATTTGATTTTCATACGGACTAACAGGAAGTCTAGAAAAAAGCGTAGCAGAAAAATTGAAAGAAAAAACTGTCAAATCTCATAGTACTGTGAAATTTGTACTATTATACAACACTTAAAAACTATTGTAAGCACTTCAAGAAATACAAGCTGGTTATTAATTAGGCCATCTAAAGACAAAAGTGCACAGCAACAGGTGGGAGAGGGGTAGCGCTGTAGCACTGTTTGCCAGAGAAACTACCAGTTATTGTGGTGCTATCATTAGCCGCTCATTAAGACTTTAATATTGAGAAGTTTTGAAACCATCGCTTTTAACAATCGTGCATAATGTCTCACTACATTTTAGGTACTCCCATTGATCTATCAAGAACAGTTCATACTTATAAAAACTAATACAAATACAAACACAAAAAATTAAAAGCAACTTACTTGAGGGTACGGGAACATGCCAAGAGCCAACTGTAAGAAGAAGAACAATAATTACTAAAGAAGGAGATCTTAAAACATCAAAAGACAAATTACAAAAACACTTCATACAATTTCTATTTTCCTATGTGAAAAAACCCAACAGTGGAAAATATTAATAACATCAAAATTATGTAGCGCTTTATTAGGACACTCAATCCTAATAACAACTGGGCTGAATGTTGTGGCAAATACTGGCTATAATCTTTCCATGGGAGCTTAATTGAACACCATTAAGCTTTATATTGAAATGTATATTTAAATGTTATGCACTCAAACAGCATAACATTCAGAAATGGACAGAGTGAGAGAATGTGGGTGCTGAAATACTAGCGGAGACATTCAGCCTTCAAAGTAAGCTTAGTGCCCACCTGCTGGTAATGCTTCTTGGTCAAATGTCAGCTATTACTTGATAACCTCCATACAATCCCCCCCAGAACAACATAGACAGATAAAGAACAAGAAGACAACGCAGTGAATGCCTTGCGTAATAAAACGTGTACTTGTGCTATTTTAAGTGAAACGCTATGTGAGACATGGCCGCCTTTAGAACATGTTGACGAGGTAGGTACTTTTCATCTGAAAGTGTCCCCATGACAACAAAAACCAACATTTTCTTTTTTTCCATCACAAATAGATGGAGCTGTGGCTCAAAGATTGACCCAAACTGAGAGAAACTGAAGGCCATTTCCTTTTTTTTGCTTAATGCATTCACCGGTAGCAGGCAACGAAGAGTTGGGTCATCTTCAGCACACAAATTATTTGTTAATAATCTCAACAGGACTGCATCATACTGAGCTCATCCATTTTGGTTAGGGGGATTGAATTAAACATTATTGACAAACAAAGGTGAGACAGAGGCATGAATCGTTTGTTGCATGGCAGAGAGACGACTGCAGACAGAAACAGATGGAAAATCAATGGTGCAAATGGGAAGACGAGAGAACGGGGAAGTCTAGTTGTTAAGCTGAAATGTTAGACAGCGGTGTGTCTCTCAAACAAGATCAACAACGTGGAGAGTGATGGGAAATAAGATGACCGTGCACAGACACACACATCATAATTGATATTAGCCATTACGTTTCAGCTGTAGATGTATAAAGACGTTCTTTGTGCAAAATCTGGGCTTATTCCTTTTTATATTCAGAAATTCCCAAGAAAAGGTTGTTGTATCTATTGAAAATAAATTACAGCAACATCTTGACTAGAGCAACTGGATTTAATCCCAGTACAACTGAGTGCAGCTATGCTATTCTACGTAGACATACGTAGCGTAGTGCATAAACTCCTCCGTCACAAGACATTTGTAGAACTCCAATCTACAAAACAATTGAAGCAATATATTTGCTCCCTATGACTAGTGAAGTGAAATTACTTTCAATTTTTTTCTGAATGTTTAATGCACAAATATGACATTGCAGAATCAGAATCAAATTTTCTGATTTCCATCTGATTCATATACATCTCCATAATGTTCATAAAAGGTCTGAATACTTCTGAAATTTCCCAGCTCATCCCAAACCCGTGGAAGGTTTCTGAAAACTCCCACCCTTCACAGCCTTACTTTGCATTTGATATTTTTCTCCTTGCAAAATGTTCACATTCCTTTCTGCGTGAAATATAGAAGGAAAAGCTTTAAGTTATTGTCAAAAAAATAAATGAATAAAATAAAAAAAATAGCATACCTCCATGAAAGAGATGCCCACACTCCAGACATCAGCATGGATCCCATACTGCTCTCCTGATATCCTTTCAGGCTGTCGAGATAAAACAAGTTAGCTTATTCTTCAAACAAACCAAAAACAACAACAAAAAAATGTATGTATCTAAAAATCAAAATGCAAAATTTCACCTGAAATTACAATAAAAAGTAGAAAACTTACTGCCATATATGCATTGGTTCCCACATAGGTTTTTGCTATAGAATTCACCAGCTGCAAAAGGAAAGAAAAGACTCCTCACATCAAGTAACTAAGCTTAAAATTACATGAATAGTTAAACACAAATAACATTAACAGGTTTTACGATTTACAATGTCAAAAATAAAACAACAGCTATGGGTCATTTGCATTCTCTAAATCTACGATCATGTGAGTGGGCTGCGCTCAGGACTCAAACAAGAGACGATGGCATCAGATTGTGTATGTGATAATGTCTGTCTGCTCCCATAAGGCTTTTTTTTGGTAAACGTCCTCCTGAATATGAGGCAAGGATGAAGGGTTTACATGCATAAAACACAAGTAAACAACAAAAAAAGAACAAAAACAGGGGTGGGACACGTGTTCACCTTTAGGAAACCAAGGAAGTGAAGGTTATGAATGGGAGACCAATTTTCCAAAGAAGGGCAACTGTTTGCGTGCCTGGATGCTGAAAGGAAAAACCGAGTCCACGGCCCTGGGTGTTTTGGGGACGGTGAAGGTCTGTCCCTGATGACTACATTACAAAACACACATTGGCGCGTGCGCGCACACACACACACACACACGCACACACGCACACCCCCACACACCCCCACACACACACACACACACATACGCACACGTGATGACAAGGCTATTGTCTGCCGCCCACGCTTTCCCCTCCAATCTACTGAATACATATCAATGTGGCTCGACGTGTGTGTGTGTGTGTGTGTGTGTGTGTCATAATTATAGCAAGTGATTTTTTTTTTCAGAGGATGCAGAACAATGGAAGGGGGGGGGCACTAATGTGAGAAGATGACCCTGGGGATGGCTCTGATGTCTTGAGTGTAGAATAAACTCTGTGATTGACAAGCTGACCACGTGAACACACACACACACATGCACGCACACACACACGCACGCACACTATGAATGCACAGGAGCGGTGCAGCTCCACTCCACAGCTTCCTCGCATTTCCATCCTGCTTTCTTTCATTCACTCCAACACAAACAAATCAGAGTACCTGCGTGCTGACACCAAAGTCACACAGCTTGACTTGTCCTCGGGTGTTCACCAGCATATTGGAAGGCTTGACATCTGTGGAGACAAACTGCTTGATAAGAACTGCGACATCAGCACTCTGCCACTTGTCTTTATCAACTCTGCCCTTTTTTTTTTCTTTTTTTAATAAAGCAGCAACCTTACTCACCTCTGTGAAGTATCTTCAGGCTCCACAAATATGTCAGGCCTTTTACAACCTGGGGACACGAGCATCGGGAAAACAGAAAGATTGCGACTTTAAACAGACAAAGATCTCAAACTCCGTTTCGTTTTTGTTCGGTCAAATGTAAAAACACAGGAGCAGAACTCGACAGTAACACAATGCCAGAGTCATAGCAGAGTAACAAAAAATTAATTTAAAAAATGGCTGTTTATTTTGAAATCAGCTGTCAGAGCCGAAGCAGGTCAACACCCTGTTCACAGCTGCGCTCACGGCTGATTATTTTCCGCAGAATACATGAACTTGATCTCTGACTCAGTTCTGTTAATCCTTTGATGTCTCCAGGTGGTGCTAAAATATTTTTGCTCTGAAAGCTGTGATTAACTCCTGTTTTCAGCAGCTGGTATTGTGATTCATTAGCCCTGCTGGTTGTTGAACAGTTTGAAGGACATTTACTTGCGTAACATTGTGGCTCCTGCTTTCAGGTGGTGGAAAAGTAGACCGGCTCTTTTACAGAACCAGATAAGAGCCGGGTCTAGCACCAGCCGTGGTTATGACCCGATACGTTTTTGGTTGAACCAAATCAATCTGGTGGTCTCACAGTAAAACATGAGCACCGGAGTTTTCAAACAGGTAGAGGTTTTTGTCAGAGAGCACATTGTTTAAACCCAACCACTCGTGTTTTAAAACGCTTACAAATACATTCATAATGTCAACCAACCTTGGCAGAAATGTTAATTAAATAAAGCAGACAGGCCTGCTTTCATTGGAGCAACAATATATAAATGATACGTTATAGTATTTCACACCAGTTTGGTTTCACTTCTTTGGAGACAAAACAGTGGGGCAACATCCTCTGGTGTGCCAGTTCATGAAGGGTGCATGGCGGCTCCAGCCAGTGTCCAAAAGCCTCACTCCTTCAAGGGATTTACCGATGGTACTTGATGCCTGGTCACATGTACCTTTTGAACCCCTGGAGCAGGCTGAGCTGAAAGTGCTCTCATTTAGGACAGCTTTGTTAGTTGCATTGGTTTCTGCCAAACGTGTGAAATGACATTCAAGCTTCTTCAGTGAACCCCTCCTGCATGCGATTAACTGAGCCGAATTATAAGGTTTTACTAAAACCCAATCTGGTTTATATACCAAAGGTTTTTAACCCGGCATTGCCATGCCGCCCTTTGGAGTTGATGGCTTTCTGCCCTTCACCATTCTCCTCTCAGGCGCATGAACGACTGCATTCGCTCTGCCCTGTGCGATCTCTTAGGATCTATGTGGAGAAAACAGCTGGTTTTCGCAAATCTGAGCAGCTGTTTGTGTCATGGGCTTCACCACATAAAGGGAAGCCCCTAACGAAGCAACGCCTTTCCCATTGGATAGTCGGAGCTATTGCTATGGCCCATCAGAGTAAAGGCCTTGCACTTTCTGCAGGTCTACAAACTGTAGGAGGTGCACTGATTGAATAGTTGCCACTCGTGGCATGGCCTCAACCTGGGCACTGTTTCAGGGTATACCATTGGAGATATACCCTGAAACATCAAACCTTTGTGATGCTGCCGGCTGGGCAACTCCTCACACCTTCACTAGGTTCTATAGACTGAATGTCACGGCACAAACTCTGGCTTACACAGTTCTGGGCGTGGGATCCACACTTAGATAACTGCAGAATGTATCTTCGAGTATGCTTATCTGGCAATACGGGAGTAGCCATGTTGAAAAACAACTTTAGGTTAAGGAATTAACCCCGGTTCTCTGAACCACAAGGGAAGTGTCTCACCAGATCACCCTCCTTGCCTGGAGCGAGGAAGAGGTGTGCTTAAAAGACTGAAGATCGCTTGCGTGACGCCAGTCATTTATACTGGGAGGAGATCCCTCCTCCTGGAACTGACGTCTCTTCTACCAGCCAGTCAAGACTGACGTAATGAAATAGGGATTTTGGGGGACAGGCGCTGGCGTCGTCTCCCATAGTGGTATACCGAAACAAAAGTTTCAGAGAACCGGGGTTAATTCCTTAACCTGAAGTTTTTAAAGATGTGTGGCACATGTAAACTGTTTCTTCCACCTGATAGATCCTCTTTAGAAAGGCAAATGGGTGTTTAACTATCATTCATTTTCAAATGTTTGTCACACAATTTACACAATATGCAAGCCACTTCCAAGGCTTTTGTCATCCATCACTGATATGCCACATAAAGAGATGAATGAAATTAACGAAACACAAAACTGTCTTGATAGGTTGTGGTACAAGAGCAACAACTGGCAACCTCCCCGGGTGCTTTTCTTTCAGTGATAATTAACAACTGTGGCAGTAGAAAGGAGGGAAAGCTGTGAAACAGAATTAGCACTGATTAAATAGCTGTCACTGTTTGATTACGGACAAAGTTAAAGGGGAAGCAACACAAAAGAGGAGCAGGAGCCGGAGGGAGGGTAATGAGTGTGGAAAAGAGCCATGCAATAATCGACTTCCAAGGCCGCCTCTGTCAAAAAGCTGGCTTTAACAGGGACGAGAAAATATGAGAGAAAAGGAATCGACACGCATCCTCTCTCTAACTCTACTAAAATAAATATCTGATATGACAATCATTGTGCTCAGAAACTTACTGCCACAGCAATCCTTCCCAGAACGTGCTCCGGTATTCTTTTGTAGACGTCCAAAGATCCACCTGCATGGAAAAAAAAAACAAAGATCTTTGTAGGCCTGGGTTTGTAAAATTTGAGTGGGGGAAAAATACCTTGGCTTAAGATTTTGTTATAAAGTAAATATCAGTTTAGTTTGAATTTCACTTCAAAACTGTTTATTTTTTATAAAAAGTAGTTCCAGAATCATAAGAAAAACTCCAATTTCAACATCACTGTGATGTCAAACATAATAACATAATAATTTTTGCTATACTCCATCTTCTATGATGCAAATAATTGATAATGTTTACTTTTCCCAATAACTCAGGTTAAGAAAAGTTCCATGAAGTAGTCAGAAGTTACAGACTTTACTGATGTACTGCTGAATGTGTGAAACATGGGAATCATTGCATTAACACGCACTTAGACAAACACACACCTAAGAACCGTACTGTCCCCGATCTCACACCAGTGCATACATCTCCAAATGCACTTCAGTCAAGATTTATCACGCCCTTGTAGCTTTTAGCACACAGCGATGCTAAGCAGCTCACGGCGATCAGACGATCCTTTGATCTGCAGAAGTGTAAATGGATACTCAGCAGAGAGACAGAGCTGGGCTGTTCCCTCAAGTCTCTTCTGCGTAGCTGTAGGTAGCGAGCGAGAAAGCAACGTAGCAGAAAAACTCACCATCCATAAATTCTGTACATATGGAAATCCTGTTCTCCACAAAGAAGGCACTGAAGAAAGTGATGATGTAGGGCGAATCGCACTGCAAATAAAGAAGATGCTGATCAATTAAGAAAAACCCAAAGCATTTTTATTTATTTATAAAGTCGGAAAAGTGGATGCCATCTTGCTAGCTCAAAAAAAATCTGTCTTTCTTCGCTAAAGTAAACTACTGTTCCACTATGTTTATCATTTCAATTTTTTCTTTCATTGTGTCTAATAATGGCAACAGTGTTTGCAGTACATCCTAAGGGAGAAATAAAAAATATATTGATACACAATGCAGAAAGCTTTCTCAATTTAATAAAACAGCCAGCTGTATTCTCAGACTTTCTCTTGATTTAATCACTGAAAGATAAACCATACTGTATTTAAGGACTTACCCATATTTATCAGCAGCTAAATATGACTCCATTGATAGGACCTAATAAATCTATCATTTTACCAGGTAGCTTTTCCTTCACCATTTTGCCAAAAATATTGGTTCATCCCCCCAAATTATTGAAATCAGCTATGCTAATCATCCTCCATGTCCAGCGCTGTATAAAATCCAGCGTTTTGGCACCAAGCCTGATCCTACAGACATTTTTGAAATAATGGTTTGCTTTCAGAAGCAGAGCTGAGTAAATGACAGCATGCAAAAAGCAGCTGTTTGTGGAATTTTATCACAAGTAGAAGGGATCAGGCAGTGTGCAGAGGTCACCTCCAAACTTCACCACGCCTTTAGATGAGCTCTGGAACTGAACTTCTTGCATTTTACCACCAAGAAAACTTGATTTTTTCTGTTTGCTAGGAATTGATTGTGAATAACAGATTATGTTTTGAGATGGACTCTAAGGCAAACATTTTGAGGCCTTTTTATGACAAGTAAGCAAAAACCCTTTTGAGAATCTGCAGCATATTCTGATTTAGTATCAAAAGTATGATGACTTAGTATGATGATCACAACACAGTAACTTTGTGTCATGATCTTCATAATAACTGATGTTTGAAAAACCGAATATTGCATAAAACCCAATGAAGTGAAAGCAGGAGCCCTTTAACATGAAATGGATTAAATGATTGGTTTTGTGAATCATTCTACGCCTAAATGATGCAGAGTTGGTTAAAGCAGATCTACTACTTGCAATTATTTAATCCAAAGATCAAAATGTATTTTATATGAACAAATGTTATAACTATTGATCTTAATAAAGCACCTCATAGCAACGCAGCAACTTAGCTTTGGCTACTTCTATGAACCTTGTGGTGATTTTCTTTTGTTATTCGTATTTTTCTTAAGTCAGTAGTTAATTAACAGAGCAGGTCAAAAAGATTCAGGATTAGGAAAAACTAATTGTTTTGCTGAAGAGGAACAGATGAGAACTGGAGACACCAACCTTGTAGAGAATTTCCAGTTCTGACATGATTTGCTTCTGTAACTCCACTGTAATATCCAGAGGAATAACCTGTACTCACACATTACAAAAACAGAAAGGAGACAGTAGTTTATTAAATCAAAAACAAAAAAAACTCAGTGCAATGGAAAGACACAGTGAAGGAGTCAATACAACCAGAGGAACTCTCACCTTGACAGCTAAAACACGCTTGCTGAGAACATGGTACGCTCTAGAGAAAAAAAACCCAACACAAATGGTCAAATATATTCAAATCATGATCTTAAAAATTGCCTCCTTTACCTTTCTCTGTCGTTTTCAACTGTGTGAATTTAAAAGAACAACTGTATGCATAATTATTTCTTTATCTTTAGAAAGGTCCTAGTCAGTTTTTAGAACCAGCTGTGAATCTCTTCACTCTTGATTTAATCACAGTTAAGTTCAGTTTTTCCTTTCTATTGCACAAAAGATATGCCAAGGTCTTTGCAAACAAATCTCCACCTACTTTCAGGCTTTCATTAACGTTGTGGACAGGTAACTGTAACAACCACTACTTTATTTGTCTAAGAATGCCATATTCACTGTTATTAGCAAGTGAAATAATGTTCCAGAAAACCACAAAACTGATTTCCTTATAAAATACAGTAAAAGTAGATTTTTTTGTTGTTGTTGTTCAAATCAGCAATGACTAAATGACTAAAACCAGATCAAGGCAAGCCTTTCTCTATTCGTCCCAGACTTGAGTCTAGAGTTGCAGTCGCCGACCGGCCCCATGATGATTTAATTAGCGAACACCTTAGCAGCATGCGTCGGCTTTAGTTACCGGCCTTGAAGGTCGGTTTACAGTGGCACCGACAATACCTCAACAGCTCTTAACATACAGTCTTCAAGGACGAATACTGTACGACAGCTGTCAAGTGATGAAGAGGAGGTGGGTTCGGTGTACGTCACGCGGGCCAGTTGATTTGCAGGTCTAAGACACGCGATCCTTACCCAACGACATGCAGCAGGCCCTCTGTGAGAATGGTACAAAGTGTGTTTAATGTGTCCAACTTTGGGGTGTCAAATTGCTGTTTCGGGACACGCTCCTAAACTGGCCCAGAACTTTAATTAATGGCAACTATTAGAGCTGAGTCAGGTATTAACAAACAGGGCAAACACCTAATGTGGCTATCCTGTGCAGCCAGGATGGTAACTAAAGTATGACAAAAAAACACCTTTCTAATAAAACCAAACTAAAAACGGATGATCATTTCTCATGTAGCCTAATCAAAACGATGGAAATGAAAAGGCTGCATAATAATAAACTTAAACATTTCCTGACTTATGTGGGATGTTTGATTTCCTAGAAGGAATGTTGATCATATGCCTCATCGTGGAAGAAAGCTGATGGCCCCGCTTTCATTTTGATCTCTCTGTCCTCCTGTTAGCTACAATCAATAGCACTTAAGCATGACAGCTGCCTCTTAATTAAGAGGAGGATGTTAATTGATGCAGGACTGCAGGGGTACACATGTTATGTACCGACTTAGCCATGTGTAGGAGCGATTCAGAGAAGAATTACTGCAATACCAAACGACTTGTAGTTGTGACAGAGAAGTCTCCACATGCTAAGAAGAGGAGTGACACAGCAAAATAACACTTGGGCAGCAATTTCAGTTATTTAGAGTGGTAAACAAAGAGATGATTCGAAAACAGATGCATCGAGATGGAAACCAAAGGTATAAATCCCACGTAGAATAGTTAAAAAGGTCAAAGTTAGAACAAAAAGCACATCAGGGTTGTAAAAGAGGTCGTGACGACCGCTTGGTCAAAGCTTTATTCTCAGGCTGGCCTTGACCACCCCAGGGCCCAGCATCCTCGTATGAGTTACAGTGACAAGCTAGTGACAGCGGGAGGATAGGGGACAAGGTTACGTAGGCACCCCCACCGTCACTTCCCCCAGATCTGACCCTAGTAAATGTGCCCCATTGCCTGGATCTTATTTACACTCCAGCTTGCTCTGTAATAAAAGCTCCATCATGCAGTATTCATAGGGCCTCTCAGGATGCCTCTAAACTTGGGGCTGTGGGTTACAGACACGAGCCTTTTTGGATCAGGGCTAACAGACATACGTGTTCGGCTGGGTTACATAAATGACACTCTACCTGTGCTTCTCGCTGGACATCCTGTCTGACATAAATGGGCTCCAAAGAAGCCTAAATACAAACATTCACAAACATAATAAGTTTCTTCCCTCTCCGCAGGAACTACAAGTGTTTAAACTGTTGTCAAGACAAATGACACACAGATGATTTGTCCAACTCAGAACTTGTGATTCAGACTTCCCAGTACAAATGGAACAACTTGTCCAGAGTCAAATTTCCGTTGGTGTCGACACTTTATCTCTGTTTGCACTGTTAAAGTTCAAATCTAGGACCAGGACTTTAACCCATTCATTTGTGATTAATTAATTACATAGACTCTATATACATATGAAAATCCAGAGCCAGAACCTTTGAATTTGCATGTTTCTTGTACACCAGTAAACCTGATGTAACAGCAACATCTGCAAACATCGGCCCAATGGAGATATCAATACTACACTCATCCTTGCTCTGAAAAACGATCGGACGCTAGAAAAGACTACTGCGTGCAAGTTGTGCTAAGAGGAGCCTATCACTAATATACAGTCTCAATAGATTTTGGGAGGAAATAGGGAATTAGGTTGGGAAATACAAACAGTTTTCCAAGCTATTTTAGTTGTTATCCAACTTAAAAATACTTAAAATTCAGCACTTTCCAAGACTTTAAAGACACTCTTATGTGACTTTTGCTGTAAGTGCAAATACATCTGGATACATAAGAGGCTTGCATTATTCTGAAAGTGTTTCACTTGAACTGATTTAGATTTTACTAAGAGAGACAATCTACTACTAAAGATACAATCCTAGAATCTCACAACCATTAACCAAACAGGTTTAGCCCTTCAATACACGCTCTAATCAATGAGGTGAGAAAACAAAATCAATAGAGAAAATGGGCTGCGATGCTGAAGAACCAGGTGTGGGTGTCTAAGTAGATGTCGCTACAGTCACATCCAAGCAAATGTGATGTTTTAATTGCCCCGCTGGATCCATGAGTCATGTGTGTCCTTGCTAGAGTATTTATAAGCTGTAACGCCGGTCAGATTGGTGAACAGTGTGTAATAAAAAATGGGGGGGTGAGGTGGGTGGAGGAGGCAGACTTTGATGGATGAGTAGGGTCAAAGTGTGGCTGTGAAGAGCTGAAGTGTTGGTAACATTCAATCGAGTCGAAATGACTCCGGGTCATAAATAGGGTAGGAGGTTAATAGGTGGGGAGCCATTTGTAGTTCTATTCACATGTGATGAACCCAATCTAAGCCGCACCAAACAGCAGCGACTGACAAGGATATAAGACCTTATAATGTCCACTCACACCATGAGCGTATGTATATAAATACTCCATGAAAACACAGCGGCTCTCCAATTGAACCGTACTATAAAGCAGTGTGACAGAGGCCTATGATGACCTCTGGCTCATCGCGACCATGTGAACATCTTGTTCTGGATGGATTTTTGTTTGTCAACATTATATTTGTCAAACATTGTACTGCTAAAATGTAACTCAACATCATTTCATTCACTTTGTTCCAGTTACTTAATTATAAAGCACATAAAATTACAAACACTTTCATCAAAGGGTTTGTAAATGTAGAATATAAATACTTTTGGAGAGTTTGGCTCAAAAACACAGCTAAGGATGATTAAATGTGCCCAAATTAAATGATCAGTAGGTAATACCTATATTAAATGAAATTTGTTTTCCTCAAGTTAAACTTTGCAACAAACTTATAAACAAAGTACTCATTCGATATCAAGAGCCCCATTATTAACCCCCGTATTTTTTTGTTAATCTTCTTCTTTCAACCATGTCAGTTTCAGCACCAATGCATATAGATTTCTACTGGACTAAATTGACCAGAGAATTTGTTGGGGTTGCATTATTGGCTTTCTTCAGTGCAGTGTAACCATTTCTGGTGCCAAACTGATGAACAATCCTATTCCCTTTTAACTATTAAAGGATGAAGCCTACCGAAACAATTTTAAAAGCAGTGAAAGAAGTTCAAAAGGGCAAAAGGCGGAAAACGAAACAAAGTGTGGTTTTGTACCGGCGCCATGACGGGAAAATTTACAGGTTTTGCTGAGGACGGTTTTTGAAGCAGAGCGCTCTGTCAAGTCAAGGTTAGTCTTAGCAGTGATCAATACTTCAATCTCAATAAAACAGCTCAATTGGGGAGAATTGATGGGAAATGGAAAGAAAAGGTGGGGAGAGAAAGATAGAAGAGCAACAGAAATGCCAACCTTGTCATAATGCAGCAAGTCTGTAATACATTTGTCTACTGGATGGAGCTCTTTACGGTGGCGGGCGGAGTGCTACTCTCCAGACCGATTAAGTCAATGGCTGTCATACCTTATAGCCCCCAAATCAATATCATATATGTTTGCAACCTTCGAACCAGAATAAACATCTACAAACCAGCCTGATAGATGTCACACCAACCACAGAGATGAATGACCAAACAGAGAATCAGAGGATGGTGGATTCTCCGCACAGCAGCATTTTACTTACTATGAAAAGTTCACATTTTAGCGTAACTAAAACCATTTTAGTTGCTTGATCAGGTAATTCAATACATCTCAATCTACAGCAGGCCACTTTGTGCTTCTGATGCTGGTTGCCCATGTGTGAGCAATACTCACTTATAAACTGTGCCTCCATTTCCATGGCCAAGTTGCTCCTGATAGTGTAGATCCTGGGCATTTATCTACAGGGCAGCAAACACATGTATGCAGGTTATGGTACTGTGGAAGTAGGGAGGACAGCGTTGTTTAGGAGAGACGCCCATGTGAAGCAGAAGGGGCTACACTGTTATTGGAAGCCATAAACAAGGCAGGCTTCAGGTCAACCCAAGTTCAGCGACATGCAGAGAGAAAACAGAGGAGCAGTAAGAGGAGATCAATACTACACTTGCTGTCCAATTTATAAAAGGATATTGGGTTTGGGTGAGAAATGCAGTGACTTATGGGTAGTTTAAAGCTGTCTTTTTCTCTTTTGATCATTTAAGTTCATTTGAACTGAATTAAATCGAAAAAAAAAAAAAAAACATTAATTGTCCTTTCTTGCTTTTCTCTTTAAAAAAAATTATATATTTTTTTCAACTGGATCCAAAAGAAATTCCCTAACATGCTAAAACAAGCATTAAAGCTTTAATTCTGATTTCTGGAGAATTTAGCTGAATATACCTGGAATTTATTGATCAAAAAAACTAAACTAAACAAAAAAAGACTGTTAAGACAAAAACAAGCCATCAGCCAAAACATGATGATTTGCTGCAAAAAATAAATGCTGGCATTCACACCAAAGGTAATTCAACACGTCTCAAAATATTTGCAAATTGACCAAAACCCTAACTTTTGTAAGCATAAAAAATAAAACTATTCAGCAACTCATTTTTACACACTAGCTGTTTTTTGCTACTTAATGATGCCAAAACAACATTTATCCCTTTTTGTAACGTAATTGGGACATAAAAATCTGAGGTGTTGGTCTCATTATCAAGGCAGGATACTATTTACATAATGTTGATGATGCACTCTTGTGCTCAATTGTTTCATTAAAGAATAGCTGCTTTTTTGCTTGAAATAAACTTTTGCATTTTGTATCTTAATTGTGGCATTTCTTTATATTACCTCCTGTCTTCCTTCATTGCATATAATGAGTGTAAGAATGGTGTTCAACAGCAGTAACTGTCTGAGTAGAGGTGGGAGGCTCTATTGATAATACTCTGTAAGCGATCACAAAGTCATGATAGCTTATGGGATCATCTTTAAAGGATATTCGATTCACTAAAGATCTACTGCATGTTCCCACTCAGAAACTATAATTTCCCTCATTTTCCTTCATCTTCAAACATTAACTTTCAAGCAGCTGAGATAAGATAGTTTCTGGTATTGTGGATGAATTGGCAGAAAAACCAGGGAAATGGACTTAGGTAAATGAGTAAAGAGACTACAACAAACATTAATAGTAACAATAAAGTCAGCTGCGATAATTGAAATAAATTTTGTAAATAATAATCATAATACACAAGTATCATAGCTGCTTATTTTTCTAAAATACCATTTTAATTGTTTGCAGCTACAATGCCTTTTAATGATTTAGCATGCTTGTAGAGTTATATAATGCCAACTGTGTTGTGACACATGTTGACAAAATTGTTCAAACTGAATAAACTACGTTTCTAAACATTATTACACTTTGGCTCCACTATATTTTTTTCTTCACCGGATATCATTTTATTCATGTAGATTGTGAAATAAATTGCAATTGTTTCTTTACTGTTTAAAAATAAATTGGCATAATATTTTTACCATGTTGCCCATCGCTACAACTAATGTCTGAACATTACTGACATCTTCTCAAAACATTAGTTGTTTCAAATAGTTATAACGATTAAGCTAAGTGTTTAATTTGAGGCTGCAGATGCAGGTGAATGCTGACTGAAACTACATTCATTTAGGCCAAACTGGATCCAAGGAATGTTTTTTTTAATAACGAAGGGGGAAAAAAAGCATTCAAAATATAATTTAAGCAAGACTGCAAATGTTCAAGCATACTGTTCAAACAAGCTCCTTGATAAATTTAAACTAACTTATTTAATAGTGAGCAGAGAGGTAAAAAGAGAGAAAATAAATGGATAAAAGATGTGCAAGAGATGGGAGGCAACATATCTATTAGTTCATCGGTTTGCAGAAGAAACCTGAGAGGCTGATTTTCTTCCTCCCAAGCATAGTAATACCCGACTATGAATGTGAGAATGAAAAATACGTGCGCAGAAAGTTTTCATTGGTCAAAGTCTTAAAATTAGCTGCCAGTACTATCTTGTGGAGAGTATATATTTGACAACTTGACAACTCACCTGCCCATTCGTCAAGATCGTCTTCAACTCTGCAGATGATTTCTTCAAACTGGACAAAGGAAACCAAATGTTTCTCAACTTTTCTACCCTCCAAGCAGCTGCAGCTTACCCCATGCACTGTCACAAAAGCTTCTTGGTGAGAAAAACTCACCTGTTGTTGGCTAAGGAGTCTGGGACAACCTGAGTGCAGTCGTTGGCTGGGTTGGGTCTCGTGTTAACCTGGAAGGTGAGCAAACTCAAATGTGACAAAAACAAACTAGTGCGTGAAGTGAAAGACAAACAGATGGAAACACAGATATGTTCATGAAGGATAAATGCGCAGTGTTTTTATAAGAAAGAGAAGCAAGAAAAGTTGCAAAGAAGGGGAAAAATTAATGTACAATAATGTGGCTTTGCACTAGAGAAAATAAAACTGATTAAAATAAATCGGCAAGTTAAGGTATTAAGATGTTATGCCTCATTAGGGACTTTATTCCCTCGTTTCTATGTCTACCCAACTGTACCTGTTTATTCAAGAGCACTTCACAATCAACCCAGATATATATTAAAAAAGAAAAATCAAGAGATAAGACCCTGAAAAGGGAATACTAAAAATAACTCCTAAATTGAGGTCAAAAGACCAATGTGTTGGGTTCACAAAAGCTGGGGGATTCTCCCTTTAATTAGTGCCCAGAAAAACCTAATTTAAATGCCACACAAGGTTCCTCTTGGCCAATTACTTTTGTGCTATAAAAAAGGGGAAACATTACCAAACGGCTAAAGGTTTCTGGAGAACGACATCTTCTCAAAACAGACCCTTGACCTCAAAAAAAAAAAAAAAAAAAAAACAGGAAAAGAAAAGAAAAAATTGACACAGTTCAGTGGGTGTTACAAAAGCTCCTCTGAGGATGGGTTAAATAAAAACAGTTCAGTGTTTTAGTGGGGGTTGAGTTTGTCATTGAAATGCAGATGGATGTAATATGGATCATCCGGAGAGATGGAGGAGGTGTCAAGTCATTTAACCCATGATAATTAGCAGCGACTTTCAACATATGCCGAACATAAAAGGGGAAGGTCTGGGGAAAGGCCATTTGGGGGCTTGTAATGACAATTTCACGGTTGAACAATGACATCTTCTTATTGCCTGATTTTGCTCTAACCAACGCTGATATTCCTCCTATCTTACGGATCACGATACTCAGGAGGGGAATCAGGGATTTCTCAGGAACGCCGTTATGCTAAACGACTTTCCCGAGAATCCAGACCGACTCAGGAGGAGAAAGTCGAGCCCTCTGACAGACGGAGCCGCGTATCTCCACACATAAACATGGAAAAAGGAGAATGAGTGAAAGAAAAGGAGAGCCTTGACTTCAATTGACATTTCAATAAGTGGAACACAGCATTACCAATCCATTTGACTCAACTTTCCGCCCTACCCATCCCCCACGCTCCCCGTGTAAGGCAGCCGAAACAATTATTGAGATGGGTACCTTCAGGCCATGTATGTTCCGGATCCCTGGAGTCTTGCCGGCTGAAACAGTAATTGGTTAGATTGTAGAACACATCACTGGACCATTTACAAATGTGTTGAAAAGAAATCAGTTCTTTATAAATAATTTAAAAAAAAGAATAAGGTGATGAAATGGCACAAGGGTTGGTCTGAGAATGAGAGTGACTGAGATGCTGGGCTCTTGAGAGAGCTGGTGGCAGGTAAAAAAGAAAGAGGCGAAAAAAACAAAACAATCATATAGTTGGAGCGGGGACATAAAGGAGAGACCAACTCTCACAGAGTAAAAGAGATACAAAGAATGTTTTATCACTCCGCCCTTGAGGCCAGCGATCTTGTATGACTTTGAACTGGAAACTAACGTGGTGTTGAAAAAGTAAGTACTGGAGAAGCAAGTGTGTTAAAACCACTGAGAGAAGAAGCTACACAATGCTGGAGGTAAATACTTACAGAGCTAGATAATGTGTTGAGAAGAAAATGTGATCATTTCTCACTAAAAAAGTGATTATTATGTTGATATATTGGTGAAAGTAAATCATCATCTTTCTTATCTATCACTTTGTTGATCCTTCAGCTTTTGAATTGTGAATTTCTACACTCAAAGCGGGACATGGGAGTTTAACTTCACATAGCTCATAATCTATCTCAGAATCCTGGCAGACAGATGGCCTCATATCAACATCGTCCTTTTAAAATTTGTTTCCAGCAGCATCCGGTGTTCAGAAAAGCTGTATGATCCCTGATCCTCTGATATCTGATGTAATCGGTATCAATCGAGCTCCAGGTGGGTGTGACACACAGTGTTTCAAGTAGGGTCTATCTCCTCTGTGGGGCAATATAAAAAGATTAACTAACTGAGAACTAGTCAGTAAGTTAGCTAATAACTAAGCTGGAAATGCAGTTTATGGATTCACAACAAAACTTCAAAAGCAACTTGATCAACTCTAAGTTTTTCTAACAACTTAAGCAGTTGATATAAAAATAAGTGAGATTATGGTATTTACATGTTAATTGAACTCTGAAAAGATGACATGGTTTCTTCTGTCTTAAATTAGGCATATATATGTGTGTATGTAGCTGTAGTTGTAAATATGGACCTCGCATTTTGTTTGGCTGTTGATTACAATGGACCAGCCTTCAGCTCCTGATCAAAGCGGTTCTTTAGTCTGACCCACTGAGATAGCACTAGTTTATAGGAGCAAGACTTGGCTGCTTGGAGAGCTGATCTAACATCAGTGTAGCAAACTTGGTTAATAAAAAACTTATTCTATGATCTTTAGTATTTTGGCCACTATCCTTCATCTGGAGTGAACATCAAATGCAATTACACTCCATCCAAAAGATTCAGCGGATGCTCGCATCGGACACTGATAACGTCGCCCAAAACGCTAAAGGTCACACAGTGATTCAAAGACAGATGAGAAACAGAAGGAAGAAGAAACTGAAAAATATTGCAATATTTATCAATATCATACCAATAGCAAGATTTTCTAATATCGTGCAGCCCTATTTTGTTCCCACATCTGTTAAAGATTTCCGCAAACCAGATGCAAAACTCATGGACAAAGACTGTGATGACGAAACAGAAAGAGGAAAATTTGACTCAATGGCAACTTCTGCCCTCACCTCTGTGCTAAACGGCAAAATGCCAGTGGCATGTTTTCCAAATATCTTGGAAGCCTTCTTCTAACCTAGTGTGATTATAAATTAAGACTCTGTACCTCTTGGAAAAATCTGTAGCGGGTCTGGCATCAGTCCATTTAAGCGCTGTTCATTCATCGTGTTGCAGTACTAAAATCAAGAAGAAAAAAATAACATATTTAAGAATAATACTAGCTTGACCATTAATGCACAAAAGACAACTTAAACATCCTTGTTTCTAGAACAATTAGGTTAAAAATTGAGGAAAAGAGATGTTTTTCTAGCTAGGTAAGAATAATTCCAAAGCATCTTCAAAAAAAAAAAAAAAAAAAAAGTGAGCATGCTGTGCTGAAATCTGTTGCCGATGAGGTCCAATGCCCTGTGGGCTTGTTCTGAGGGAGTGTAGCATTAACCCTTTTCTCCTCCAGGTCAGCAGCTCACCAAACACTCATATTCTACAGGACTAACACGAGCAGACGCACTCTGGAGCCTTTCAGCTGCTTGCCAAGGCAATGCAATAATTGATGTTTCAGTTAAACAAACCATCTGTTAAAGTGAGCTTCTGCGCATGGAAACGTGTGTGGGTGGGTGTGCTTTTGAGTTTTCCTTTCAAGATTTCTATCCGAACGCCTAAAAATACCAAAAACAGCGAAAATGTTTGTATTGTAGAGGAAACCTACATGAGTTCATTGTGTTTAATTTTCTATCCAGTGTGAATAAGGCAGTCGCCACAGCAATATGTAAATCTGCTCTCTCATTGTGAAGGAGGGAGGGAGGACGATGGGACCGGCTTGGATGGGAATGGATCAGAATGGCTACCCAAGTGGCACAGCTGTTATTAAAAGGCCTATTTATCACTGTCAGATCCCCTCCTCGCTCCTAGCCCTCTGCATTTACCCTCCAGCACTTTCACTAGGCCACATCTGAACAATACGTCCTAATACCGAAAAAGAAAAAGCAGAAGAAGAAGGGGAAGAAAATGCAATGTGTGTTGAGGTTGTGGGAGCAGATCGGGCTTCATGTACCTTTAATTTTCCGCTCAGCTGGCTTATTGATTAAAGCCGCAATTACCACCTAATCTTTAGTAGGTGTGTTATTAAAAGACACTCTCCATTGTTGGCCAATAACTAAACAGTGTCCAAACTCAAACGGTATCGCTAAGCCTTAAGGGACACACAGGAGAAGTGTGGGTCTCATCATCATTAGCAGAATAAGGGGAAACGGGAGTAAAAGCGATGGAATTAGAGTCTCTACCTCCAGGGGGAGCCGCATGAGTGTGGACGGGGAGTATGAGGGGTCATATGTTTTATTTTAGCACCTGACATAGAGCAGTTTTTAACTTTGAACAGGGGCGTCTGTCTTTCAAGGTGTCGAACAATGATTAGAGATGCCTGGAAGTCGAGCCGGTCTCACAGGAGCATGCAGCAGCAATCAATGTTTGCAAAGAAGTGCAAGACTTTTTAGAACAGATGCCCTCTGCACACCCCCGTTAATTAACTTGTGAATTTGAGCATTAATTTGAGCGACCAGAAGTGTCTTTTTTTTTGGCAAGCAGAAATCTAGGAGAAGGAAAAAAAAAAAAGAAGAAAAATTGATTTTGAAAATGTGTAAAAGTAATTATATTTTTTTTCCCCACCCCAAAAAATCTGACCTATCCAGACAGAAACACCTGCATTCACAAAGTGACATACTAAATGAATTACCCCACCTCTGACCCAACATGCTGTTTCCTGTAATTCCTATTAATTTCACATAATGGCTGTCTGCTCACCTGGAATTAATAACACTGAAGTCAAAATCCACTGGGACATCAGCGGAGGGCCAAGTGGCAACCACAGCAAACAACCACAAATGGAAATAAAAATGCATTTAAAGTACATGTACTTGAGTGGTTTGAATTATATTCCAGTGTGTTCGGTATTTTCCAGGTGATCAGCAGCTTTTTGTACATCGGGTGGTCCCATGAGTGGAAAGCCATTACAGAACTCTTGGACTCATTTGGCAAAAATTCATGAACAAATGAGTTTTTAAATGTGTGGGCACAGAAGTGCAGCGTGAATACCTAATATTTGTGCTTGGTAGAAAGCTTGGAGGTCAGGGTCGCACATTACGCTCAACCACGTCACATTTGTATAAAGCACTAAGTGTATGAAAAAATGCTCGGAATATGATTGGCACAAATACATAAAAAGAGAAAGATAATATATGCAGAGTTCCTACATGTTTATACTGTAAGCCAAAACTTTTTCCGACTCAAATCTCTCAAAGGTTCTTAGCCCCTTTTTGGCTACATTGTATAAATGTAGCACAAATACTCACACTTTGCTAGGACTTTAAATATGGAACCTGTGAATACAATGGATGGAGAAACATACTGCAATGACATTTAAAATATATGCATATGGAGCAAAGTACATGTAGATGTGAAAAATTACTTCAGAGAGATTTGACTTCCTAAATTGACACTTTGAAATTGAATTCTGTGTCTTTCAGAAGCTTCTGCTCTTTCCAAGTCTCCGCCTTCAGCAAGTCGTCACAACAGTGTTCCTCCATTATGTTGTCTACAGCCTTTCTTAGAAGTGTTGGACTGAGAAGAAATTTATAAAAAGTCAATTTTTTCATAATGCCCAGCTCACGTTTGGGCAAAGTGTTTCTTAATGAATTAATTGGGTTTCTCTTAAATTAGCTGCCAATAAAATTATGCAAACTCTCTGCACTTAGTTAGGAGGCCTATTCTTCCCAAATGTAAGGAAACTAATGTAATGTGAATACATCAGAAAAGTTATAATTCATGTCCATTTGGAAGAAATCAGGTACACTGTTAGATGACTAGATGAGACATTTTGGTCAATCAGGAATCAATATGTATCCTGTATCAAAATGTACAGTTTACTACCATTTTTGATTGATTGTCCAGATTGTTTGAATACTTTTTAAATTACGTTAAGTCTCTGTTTTGATTGGTGGATAAAGTACATAAAACAGGACACACCACACAAAGGACAAAATGACACAAGTACCACGCTGATAGCATCAAGTAAAACATGATTGTGGCTTAGGTCAATACTTTTTCCATCTCCTTCTAACATCTGCCTCTTTTCTTGTCTAATCACATTGCTACCCTATGCTGCATAATGATTAAAAAGCAACCACAAGTGATAAAAATGGCCAAAAAAACAAGGAGTTTAAATCGTGCCTGTGGCAGTAGCAGCATCATTGTGAGTTGACGGGGGGTAAAAGACATCCACAGATGAAAGTAGATTTTGAACAATTCTGCAGCCCAGGGGGGCTGCTCTTTAATGAGGCAAAACTTTAACTACTGAATAATAAATAATAAAAATTGACAGTTCATTTAGCTTTCAGTGTACCTCATACAGAAACTAATTACATGCCATTACTCTTACTGTCCGTGGCATGATCAGTAACTATGGTGGAATAGAAAAATACACTGAATTAGACGGCATCACTGAGAGGGTAGCTGTGTTATTGTGTTTGAGAGCATTTCTGCTGCCTACAACCTAAACACGGTTTTACCAAACTACTTGAGCTCGAGCTGTGTTATATTTATTTTAAGTTTCCAGCTCATAGATGTTAACTCAGATATTATGGAAAAGTCAAATTTATTAATATGATTGATTATTTTTCTGTCCTTAAAATGCTTTCTAACAAACATGTCACTTTGCACACTAGACATGGAGAGTTATTGAAATCAATTGAATCTGATTATCTTTAAGGACAAACATGAATTGAATGGTTTGACATTTCACATAAATGGTGCACAGATAAAACAACAATTAATTAAGTGTTGTTTTTATGCGTTTTCATTAATATACTCACATATGACAACATAGCTTTGAGTTCTTCGTCACTTCGTACAGTAATTCTGTCTCCCACCTCATCTTCATCTAAACAAAAAAGGGAAACACAGACAGAGAATGGTGAGTCATAGATTATAAGACTAAGTATATTAAATTATGCACATTAAAATTTGAGCTTCCAACATACACACTTTGAGAGCTGATGATTATATTCAAATCATAATGTCATAATGTTCCCTGAGGAACTAATGTAACATGAATACAAAAGAGAACAGCCATCAGGATGAGGTTGTTCATAGTTAAGTTGGTTTGATTAGTTTTGCTATGACAGTCAACTAGTCCAAATGATGATTACAACATCAGTGGAAAAAGGAAAATATCAAAAAGCAAATCTTATCTTATGCGTCAGACTGAATTAATTATGACGAATGTGTTTTCTTTACAGAACCATGAAGAGAAATAAATAGATAAATATGCCATGGGGATGAAATACATGTAGGTGCCCTTCATTATGAATGAACTTAGACACATCGTCTTTCTGCTGTTTTATCAAGTTAATAAATGTCTGAGGAAAATTTTAGATCAACACTTGACATTCTGTCAGTGTACCTGTTTGTTTTCATCATGTTGACTTTGCTTTTTTTTATATTTACAGATTTGAGTGTGCATACAAATTAATCAAACTATTATAAACTCATACATAATATTTACAGTCAATACATGCATATGCCATAACAATGCATGTATTGAACAAATTCTGAGTACTGAGTCACTTCTGAGTCATTAAGTCATATAATAATTCTGCCCACTACTAGTTCCCTACTCATTTAGTTTACACAAATGTACTTTTACAGTAACACAATGACACAGTAATATTCATCCTACTTGATACAGTAAAACAATAAACTTCACTTGCATTTGGTTTCTCCTCACCTCTCCACAAACAGTCTGATAGGAATCTCAGTGAGAGACAGAAAGTCAGCATCATGCATTGGCAGAGATATAGAAATCTGAGCTATCAAATAAACTTATCTACACAGGCTGAGTCCAGCACTGAGTTTTAGTGCAGTGGTTGTTTCTAATGCAACAAATAGAAAGAAAAACTTACATTCAAACGCTGTGACAGTGGCTTCAGGCATCACGTCTCTGATTGCGACCTAAAATGTTTGGCAGAGAGAATTACAAAGATTTTAAGCAGAACAACAGCTATGTATTATTTAATGACACCCCGTGAGATTTTACAAGTTTAGAGAAAAATACATATATAAGAGCTCGATACGCTCATATGGAACAGATGTAAGTATTTGTGTCTGGATTCAAAATGACACAAATGTAGAAAAAAACACCGTTTTCTTTTAGCTCCACTGACTCACCAGCAAGTCGTTGAAGTTCAACACAGACGGATAGTCCACGGATGAGTCCATGTCCCCTAAAGGTGTCTTTATACGGATTACTATCGGCTCGGTGTCCATTTCCACAGGGTGATTTAAAATGAGCATAAAAACGGAAGCATGAACCTCATAATCCTCCTCGGTTGTCAGGAAGCTAGTGAGCTAATTTCCTGCAGCGCTTCTCCCCAATTAAAGTGACGTGAAAATTGAAAAGACGGAGCTGGCTCAAAAATGTCACGACATATCACCTGGAAAACCTCAGACTGGAAAACAAATATGTTTTTCCTCTAAGCTCCGAAGTCAACTTTTATGCAAGAACACAGGATATGTTTTGCTAGGAAGCTAATTCAGAGGAAGCAGCACGGACAGCGTTTCCGAATCAACATCCGCTCAGGGAATTTCAAAATAAGAGACGCATTTGGAATATCTAAACTTTTTTTAAAGTTTTTAAAACGAATGACAGCTCAAACATAACATAGCTCAAATGTTGTGTTCAGTTTAAGATTATGTAAAAAATATTTTAGACAATTGACCTTTTTATTCTTAAAAATAAATTAATTATATGACATTTCATCTCCGTTTTGGAGTTTTTAAGTTAATAATTTCTGAAGTTACACATTTTACACAAATAAGGAACACATTGCAGCAGTTTTAAACCACTTTGAATGATAATCTGTGTTAAGTTTTCTGACTTTCTTGTGTTCCTTTTGCATTTGGTTGTGACACCTGGCTCAAAGTTACTCTCTTCTCCTGTTTTTAATGGCAGCTTGCATTCAAAATGTTGCACTACTGCCATCTCTTGAGTCAATGCTTTGGTTAATTATACAGCAATGTATTTTATTTTAGTGCTGTCACCCACTGCATGGCGTGTCTCTAATTTCTCTCCGGGTTGTCCATCTTCTGTCCAAAAAAGCAGACTTGTTAGATAAACTGGACCATCTAAATGGATAAAGAAGGATGAAATGTTTTGGTCATAACAGGATAAAAAACTGTTATCACAAATAAATGACAGTTCTAAAGATGTTTGTGTTGCGTAAATGTCCCTGATTGATCTTTCGATCGCAGAGGAGAAAAAGATATTTGTAATAAATTCAACAAGCAAATCGAGATTTTATTTTACTTTTTTTTTTTTTTTGTAAAAATTTGATCCACAGTGCCATGGTAACTGCAGTTGAAAACTGCACCAGTTTTTGTTCCCTTTTCACATCATTAACACAGCATTTGTATTTAAAGGTTTTCACTTGGCATCAGTCCTTAGAACTTAATTGAAAGTAAAACAAAAGAGCACTTAAAACTGTTGTTGATTACGGCCTTATGATTGAGGAGCAGTGGCTCCCTGCAGCTTTGATTGCACTTCTAACAACAAGGCATTGATCTTTGGACAAAGGGAAGTCTGGTCTTGTGTTAATTTACAGCGCACTGATCCCAGATCTGATACCTGACTCTGTTGACCTGGGTTATGTGTAATGATAAGAACTTGTTAAAGCCTGCTCTTTCTCCCTATTCCTCCGATCTGGCAGAGATGTGCCACTTGAAATCGTATCCCTGGGGCTTGTGTGCGCTGCCAGGCACCGTGGCAGGTTGGGTTTCAAGAAGGTTACAAAACAACCTTTCCCACCCCCGATTGGCCTGGGGATGAACTTTTCGACCAAATGCTTTCATTTCAAGAAAGCCGAAAAGAAACCGTTCAAATTAACTATGGCGTGCAGGGTTTCTGTCTAGTTCCCACAGACTCCAACAGACACACAAACGTTACGGGTCTATTGACTCTTTCTGAACTAATCACATCACTTATACCCGTACCAACAGCTGGGCTAAAGACCCATTGATTTCCATGTAATGCCTGAAATTATTACTTTGTCTAATTGTTACAGGAGAGTAAAGGGGAGACAAGGCAGGGCCATCAAGCAATCTGATTAATGCCTCCACCAGCAGTGCCCTCTGATGAAAAGCACAGGATCTATATGGCACTTTGTCAAACATGCTCTCCCAGGGCTTGACGTTAGGTCCTTCTGCTTTAGGGGCCGGCCAGTGCGAAGCGCAGTCAGCAATCCACATTATCAGAAATCAAACTCCTGACTTAGCTCGGAGGGGAAAGTGGAAAAGGAAGGCCAGCATTCGCTGTCTGGTAATTAAGAGCCATTTTATCAGAGCTTCTCTTTTGCTCCATGCTTTTTCCGCCCCTTGCTATTGACAAGCTGCTTAGCACAAAGTGAGTTCAGTTTGACTCTAAATATATGAGGCACACTTATTTAACTTTCTCAGCAAAGAGGGAAATGCAAGTAAACAAGACAGAAATAATGCTGCCCAGCAAGGCTGCCTCTTTCGCTTTATGTTATGTTTTCTTTATGGACATGTGTGTGTGTCAGCTGCTTCTTACATCTGGCCCCCCTTCTGACCCATGACAGCACTGCCAGTACAATTTGAAATGATTTGTTAGTTTTACACCAGATGTAACAGGACACATGACTTCCAAAAAGTTCCACTTTTTGTCTCGTCAGCGATTGAACATTTTCCTAAAAGTCTGGATGGAGTTTTTCTTCATATATGTTCCTTTCAGTCATTAGTGGTTTTGGCTGTTTCTGCCCAGTCTATCCATTATTGTTGAATCATAAACACTGATCCAAGCTAAGGAAAGTGAAGTCTGCAGGCCATAAGATGCTGTTTTGGGGTCTTTACTTCCTCCTGTATGAGTTGTTGATTCTCTCTTGGATTAATTTTGGAGGACAAATCAATCCTGTTCCATATTTTGGGTTTTTGTAGCTCCTACTCTGGTCTGCTGGAGACACAAATGGCGTAGAAATGGCTTTGTAACATTGTCCACACTGATGAACGTCAATTCTATTTGTTTTAGTTTATTTATATATGAATTCACTACAAATGTCATCTCAAGACACTTCAACGTAATCTATATGTAGAGATATTATGTAGTCAGATTCAGTCCAATAATCTAGGCAGGTCAAAGCTAAATGATATGGATTCTAACTAAAACAGTATAACTAAGCAAGCCTGTCAAATTTAATTTCAGATCTCCAACAGAGAAAATGTTTTCTGCCTCTGGAGATTTGTTTCTCAAACGTTCTTGAATGTCACTAAGTGTTGCTTTTTGATACATTTTCATGACTCTGACAGCTTTTTCACATCACTGTAAAAACGTTTGATCCCCTTTGCCTCTCAGGAACATTTAAGTGTCTCCGGTTTAACAAAAGCACAGGATCTGATGCGAGCAACGTACGAAAATTGTGTCCCCGCCATCTGTCCGGGACCACGTGACGTCCCAACTCAGATATCCAAGCCCTCAAGCTGAAATAGAGATGTGTCTCCTCATCCTTGAAGCCTGAAGCTGATTGTTTATTGGTGCTGCCAGAGTCTGCGCTCAGATCGATACCATCCACCTCAGATGGGCCTTCAAAACACGGGCTCCAAATTGAGGTCAGGATGTGTAGAGGGTTATGGCACTTCAGCAGATATGAATTGCCTGAGCTGTTGCGATCATTTGTTACACGTTCCTTTAAAGTTCATCTCAAAAGTTGACCTGTGATGAAGCACGGGGAGTTTGCGAGTCGCCAAGAGTTATGAGGAAGTGCTCCAATTCACGGACAAGTCGGGCCTGCGAGAAATGGATTGTGTGACTAACTCTCAGGTCTCTGAGCAGCATGCTTTCCTTGACGTTTCCAGTGTTTCAAATTCACCTCAAAGATGCCCTTTATGGCTCCGTGTTGTTTCTAATAAAGAGGAAATATTGGTGCCGTTCTGACCTGCTCATAGGGGCCATAGAAAATTTATGAGGTGTGTCCCCTCCGTTGAGGCTGCTTTTGAACAAAGCTTGGCATAAATAACACATCTCACCAGTTAACCTGAGCTCCATTGGTCTTGTTCTCATGTTGTGGTCAACTGACTTTAATACATGTAAGACATAAATGCTTCTTATTTTATAGTGTGTTTTCACAAATATGCTCTGAATCACGGAGAACATTTCTCTTCAGAATGGAGCTCAGTTTTCGTAGAAACCCGGTTTTCTGTTTTTTTGTGAAGTTTCATTCTGATTCGTTTGAAAATAAAGGAGATTATTCTCATAAACACAAATCTTTAAACTTCATCTCATTTTAGTAAACTAAAAATAAAGACAAGAAAATGAATGAATTGTTGTTGGTGTGTTTCCAGATGGAAAGAAATGGTTGTTTTTCGCCGTGCCATAGTTGAAGAAGACGATTAAAAACTGCTTGGCGGCGGATTAGCTCATCATTGGTGATTGTTGTAGACCCGGCCACAGAGATATGATTAGTGGCCATCAGTCGCACTTTAAGCCTGAGCTCGCAAAAATGGGAGAACGAAGAGAGAAACACTCGAAACACTCAGGGCTACAGTGGAACAAGCAACAGGACAACAGCATGAACGCTGGAGAGAACAGCCCAGGCGACAAAAATCACAGGAGACAACGGGGACCAGTTGTTGGAAAAAGAAAAATAAAGCGGAATAAAACTGATGGATCTGGCAAAGGGCTGACAACACTGAGAGGTTTTATGTGCTGGGGAGGGTGATGACTGGAGGTTGAACTCATTATCAGGAGGTTTGTGGACAGGAACAGTGGCTAAAGATGGCAGCTCCAAAATATCAAAGACCACACTCATAGTAACCTGAATACACACTAAAAGCAAAGTCCAACCGATCACGACATATAAAAAAAAATGATATTCACTGGATAGTTGACGTCCTTCCTGCTGCAGGGTGAAGTCGTGTAAATCTTATTACTGTTTTCCTTTTTGACAATACTACACCCAACATTTTTGTTAGCATCCAAGCTTAACATGCTAGCCCATATTTTTTCAGGCTGACAGTTTTTGTTGTGTTGTGCAAGAAGCAAATACATGAAAACCCCTAAAGTGCTTTATAGGGAGTGTGTTAGCTTCAGACGGGTTTAACGGGGGTGAGAGGGCAAAATGAATGGGCGGCCAATGCCCCACAATGCCCGCCAGGCCGGGCTTCAGATATGATTAAATTAACAATATTACTAGAAAGACACAAGACTAATTATACCACTGGAAAGACAACTAAGAATGAAAGTACTGAACTAAAAACACTCTAAACAGCACAACACTAACACTGTGACACATCCATGTATGTGTGTGACAGTGGCCAAGATGCATGACCTCTCTTCAACCACACATTGCTCTGGTGCAGTATTTCAGGTGGCCTGTTTGTCAGCTGAAATATTCATCAAACAGATCAACGGAAAGTCTGGCCGGCTTTTCAGCTGGGAGCAACATGTCAATAATTGATAGAAGATGAGGTAAATGACTTGGTGACTGTGCGTTGGTGTGTGTTGGGGTCCATCTCCTGCTGTAAGCGATGCCTCTGACCTTTGCTTTGAGAAAGAT